ATCCCCACGGCACGCTCTGTGTTCCTGAGGCGCAGACTCCTCGGGCTTGTCCTCTTCTGTCACCCAGAGAGAGACAGGTCTGTGGCTGAGGACTGAGGTGGGCGACCAGAGGGTCAGGCCAGGCCTCCCTCTCAGTCCTCTGTAGGGACTCGCCCGCCACCACCAGCCCACCCATAGCTCTGCCGTGTTCCCCCCTGGAAACCTATGAGGTCCAGTCTGTTCCCTCGGGAGCTTCCTTCTACCCACTTCCCCTCATTCCCGTGCCAGGAGCACTGGCATCTGGGATCTCTGAGTACCGTCCGGACCTTGGTGCCCACTTTCCAGCAATGAGCAAACCCACCAGGGCAGGCTTCCTGGCAAGTAGCTCCACTAATCAGGCACGGAATGTCAGAAATCTGGGAGATACCCTCGGTACCAGACTCCAACTAACAACAGTCCTATTGTGGGAATGGACTGATGTCTGTCCCATCCTGCATTCCTCACGGTCACAGCCCCAGTCCTGGGCCAGGCCCCCTCCTTCATCACCTGGGTGTGGCCTGAGCCACACGACAGCCTCAATGCTGCTGTCCCTGCTCCCGGTGAGCCATCTCACGTGGTGGTGCCTGTCCCTGTTCCCCAAGTGCACAGCACACACAGGCCAGACCCTGGGCTTCCTGCCCGGCCACCCCTCTATCCCCTCTCTGGACCTGGGGCCACCATTCCTGCCACTTCTCCTGCCCCTGCTGGCCCTGTGTGCCTGGCCCTCTGCCAGGATGTTCCTCCCAGCAGTACCTGTAACCAGCTCCTCCCTGCTCTGTGGGCATTGTGTGTTCGTTGTGCGGTGATGAAGGTGCCCGAGCTGCTCATTTGCCCGCACTGAGGGAACCAGCAGCTTGGTTTCTGTTTTCTAACACAGTTTAGACCGATCGCTGTACAATACTTGATAAACATGGGTTATAGAGAAAACAGAAAAACAAAGACCTATTAGATGTTCTCCTTTAGATGATTAGATATGACGGTATTAAAATTGTATTTTAATAGAAATGGAAAACACTCTTGGATGTTACAACAAGGTCAACTTGAGGGTCAGATTGCGACAGCCATTTCTCATTGGTTCCTCGTGTTGTGGACTAGAAGCACATGGTCAGGGTGCCTGCATTGGGCTGCGGGCCCATGAGCCATGGTGGAGACTAGCTGCTCCCTGTAGCCTGCTCTCTCGCAGGCATCCCGCACCAGGAGCACCTCTCGCCTGGGCTACGTCGCAGCCAAGGTGGTGGTCAGGCTTCGCTGACGGCAGCTTCTCCTGGCTGCCCGTCCGCCCCAGGGGAAGGAGCTCCAGGCCTGCCTGCAATTCTGGGGCACAATGGGGAGACAACAGCTGAGTCTTCAGGGGGGCCCTGGCGGTTTCCTATCTCCATTTGCTGGGGGAATCTGACCTGTGGAGTTGGGGTGTGGCTGGAGATTCATGTGGCCGTACCGTGGCGTCAGGGCTCTGGAGAGAAGCAGGCCCAGCAGGGTGCGTGCCTATGTGCACTACTGTGTGTATCCATGATTGTGTTCGTGTATGTGATGCGTGGAATCTTAGTGTGTGTGCCTACTGTGTACATACACGTAATCACTACACATACACACACGGTATGTGGATACCGTCCGTGCATATGTGCTTTGTGTACACATGTTGAATCCTAGCGCGCGTGTGTGCGCGCGCGTGTGCGCTTTATATGGTATATACGTAACCTCTGTGTATATGTTCGTACTGTGCCTGTGACCCTGGAACAAATGTGCATTTGCATGTACCGTGTACACATCTGTGATCACAGTGCGTATAATCTACCATGTGTGTGTGTGTGTGTGTGTGTGTGTGCACGTGTGTGCACGCATGTGCGAGAGATCACGGCAGCCAGGACATCCCAGGAGGCACCAATGTACCATCTGTGAGCCCGGGGTCCTGGTGTGCCCCTGCTGTGATTCAGTCCAAGTCTGGAGGTGGAACACCAGCGGCCCCAGTGTCCAAGGATGCAGGAGAGGCTGTGCAGAAAAAGCAAGTTCCTCCCCCTTTGCTGTTCTGCTCCATTCTGTTTGGGCCTTCTGCACGATGATGATGCCCCCACACCGGGAGGGCCACCTCAATCTGTGACTCAGACACGAGTCTCCCCCACCGAGCCCCCTAACAGACCCAGAAGTGATGCTTTACCTGCTGTCGGGGCACCCTCGGCCCAGGGTCCCCACGTCATCCATGCAAGGGACTGGGACACGTGGACCTCCCGGCGGGCTCAGTCCACCCACAGCCTGTCTCTCCTGCTCCTCCTCCTCGTGCCTGGCCCCATTCAACCCCTCACGCATGACACAGGGATGCTGTGTCAGCTGTCTCAGCAGAGCCTGTAACCACCTGATGTCCCGACCCCAAGGCTCACAAAGTCCTTGCCTGTAGCTCATGATTTCTGGAGCTGTACGAGACATGGAGGGAAGCTGCCTTCCAGAAGAGTCTCTGTTCCCACCACCGTGGGTTCTGAGTCCCGGCGGGTGGACCAGCTCTGGACTGTGGTTGCTCTTTGACCAGCGGGGTTTCCAGGAACCTGTGGGTGGTTTGTAAAGCTTGCCATGTACATGAGGCCCCTGTGGTGGGTGCTGCCTGTCCATGTGGACGCATCTGCCTCTCGGGGGGACGGAGAGGAAGGGCCCGCAGCTGGCTGGATTATAATTAATGCTTCCGTTGTCCATCTTGGCTCCTGACCGTGCACAGGCGGGGGGACTTCCTTGCCCCAAAGCTCATGGTTACTCAGGCGCGATTGTCAGATGGTGCAAGCTGTGAAGGGAAACACTTCCTTTTCAGGGCGCGTGCTTCTGCACCTGCCGCTGGTGTCGGGACTGAGGCTTCTGCCAGGGGGTGGCTCACATGTGGCCTCAGAGCAGATGCGGCTATGACACGTCAGAGTACGTGCATGCTGGTGGGGCGGGGGGAGGGTATTCCAGCTACATCAGGACCTGTGGTGCCCAGCTGGGCCACTCCGGGCATTTGTGTCTTGCTGCTTCCGTGCTCCTGCCAGTCCTCATGGGCACTGAGGGGTGAGCAATCAGTTTTTCCCCTCATTACATGGGTGATGAAGCTAAAACCCCAAAAACTCAGACGAGCTTCCCAGCATGCCAGAGCTTGTCAGTTCAGAGCTGTGATTTGCATGCAACTCTGGGAATGTCCACAGCCCATGCTTTTTTGTGCCACGCTGCCTCGGTTTCCCTGCTAGATGGCTCATCTGTTCAGCTTCGTCATTCTGTAACACATTGTGGGACCCTATGCATCAGGGTTGATGCAGTGATAGGGATAGTCCTTTGTCCTTGAGGCCAAGGCCAGGAAGTCCTGCCGTGACCCTGGCTCCCTGGGCCTAGGGAACATTCTGGTAGTTTCTGATCCTAGTGGCTCTGGAACTTGCTTGGAGTGCCTGCTGGGAAAGAATCCCATGGGCGCGTGTGTCCCTGACCATGGAAAGGGCCTCCCCTGGGCACAATGCTGTAGGGGTTCTGGGCTGTGGAGGGTGGACGCAGGTGGAGGTCCCAGTTAGGCTGGTCTCACCGCAGATGTGGATTTCCCCTGGGCAGCTCTGGGAAGGCGGCCTTCACTCTCCGCCTCCAAGTTGGGACGGTATTCCTGCACTGCCCTGCAGGCTGCCTCTCCCAGGCCCCCGCTCAGAGACTGCAGGCTGGGCCAGTGGGGAGGTTGGCCCTGGGGTCCCAACCCCCGTGCCCTGGGACATTCCAGGTGGTGTCTGAGTCTCCCTGGGCTCCGGCCTTTGCAGGCCAGTTCTAGCCTCTGCTGGGGACCCAACAGCAGGACCATCACATGTGTCTGCACTGCGGGGGGGCCTGCCGCTCTCTGTCAGCATGTAAGCAGTCCCCGCGGGCGTGCCTCTCTCTAGCTTCTCGGGTCCTGGCTGGCCCTGGCTGCCCACTCACATGATGTCAGAACAGCCCCCAGACTCTCCTGTCCTATAGGTGAGGACACAAAGGCTCAGCAGTGAGAGGCCACTCAGCAGCCAGGCAGGGTCCCGTGAGCTTCTGCTTCCCCATCTCCGCCAAGAGCCTGGCAGATCTCACTGCCCGTTGTTTGCAGGCCTGGAGGAGGGTGTGAAGGGGCCTCTCACCCCTATGCCTGCGAGCGGCTCTGTGCCCGAGGACCCGTCTTTCTGGTGGGCCCTGGGGCTCCCTGCACACATGGCCTGCATGTAGGGGCTCCCATGGGCTGGGTGGTGGGCTTCCACGGATGTAGATGTGAAGCAGGCCGCCATAGAGTCTGTGCTGTGTCTCCTGGGGATGTTTAAGCAGATTGGCAGCTCTGAGTCCTGAGAAGAAACTGAAAATGACGATTGCTTTCCCCTAAAATGGAAAATAGAAGAGTCAGAGAAACCGTAAATCGTGGAGGGTAGGGATAAGCTTTCACTGTACAGGGAAGAGCGTCAAGGCCGGGAGAGGCTGTGTGACCTGCGTGAGGTCACACAGTGTGCGTTGGTGGAGCCAAGCCCAGGACCCAGGCTCCTCCCACACCACCTGCTGTCCCGCAGGGGCCAGCCCGGGGTCTGCATGCAGCCACCAGGGTTGAGCCGCACCCCTGCAGGGCCTGTGGGGATCGGGATGGGGACACCCAGGGAGGTGGACAGCCCCCATGGTGGCCACAGCAGAGGAGTAGGCTGGGGCTCACTGCTCCTGTCAGTAGGGGCTTCATCTGTAAATACGCTAATCTCACCAACTTGGCTTTTGGACCGGTGACACGTGTCATTAACACAGTCTCTCGATGCCGTCCCCGAGACATGCATGCTCTGTGCTGTGGGAGATGACTCTCTGCTTTACCAGGGGCTGCCAGCGCCGGCTGCCTGTGTTCAGCATGTTTAGCAGGTTCCCAGTGACCCCATGGGAGAGAGGTCGCAGGTCTGGTGGTGCACGTCCAGACGCCCCTTCCTGCTGGATGTGCGTCCTGACCGGCCAGTGGGTGGGCCATGGTGCTGACGCTGCTCTTCTCCCTGTCATCCCAGTGTGCCCGCTGCCTCCAACAGTGAGTCATGGTGATTTCGTCTGCCACCCGCGGCCCTGTGAGCGCTATAGCCATGGGACTGTGGTGGAGTTTTCTTGCGACGCTGGCTACAGCCTCACCAGTGACTACAAGTACATCACCTGCCAGTATGGGCAGTGGTTCCCCTCCTACCAGGTCTACTGCATCCAGTCAGGTGAGCATGGACTACCTGGCCCATGCCGCGCTTGGTGGCCACCAGCCATGTGCCCCCTCCAGTGCCAGGGTCAGGGACACGGCGCAGAGACCCCTCTCCGTGTGTGCCCGTCCGCGGGGAGGAGGGACAGCAGCCTCTGTCTGCCCCCAGCCTGTCCCTCCCAGGGGCAGGAACCTCAGCCGTTCTCTCCTGTGTAACCCAAACCCAGCCGTCCTCTCCTGTGTGAGGACATGTGTCACAACCCAGAGGATGGCATCTCAGGGAACACCTGGTCTCGCAAATGAACGCCCAGGACCCTTGTAAACATTGGTGCTCCTTGGCGCATAATGAATCACTGGCCTCAGGAGTCCAGGGTAGTGAGTGGGAGACAGAGACCGGGCACCCAGCCTCCCACCGTGTCCCGCACGCCCACCCCTGCCCACTTGCCCCAGCGTTTCCTGCCACAGCATTAGTGATGGCCATTGTCTGTGGGGGCAGCGCCTCATGACACAGGGCCCTTGGAGGCCCTTGGATGGCAATGGGAGTCTGAGCATGATGTGTTCGGAGGTGGCGGCAGCAAGGGAGGATGGTAGGGGGCAGATAGGGCGGCCTGGGCCGCGGGGGTGGGACCTGCCTTGGAAGGTAGTCAGCTGCCCCTTTTGCAGGTGTGCTGATGGCCAGAGGTGGTGGGGGGCGAGGGCCATGGCGCGCTCACCCTGTATCCCTCTGTCCCTTTCCTCAACCTTTCTGGGGTGCATTGCAAGCTCACTTCCCTGGGGAGACGGACTCCTCCTCCCCCGCCAGAGAGGCAGGAGTGTTTCTGGCTGGGCGCCAGCTCTCAGCCCCATGGGGAGCACAGCCCTGAGGGTCCGTGGGCACCAGCGGAGGCCACAGTGCCGAAGGAGCGTGGGCCATGGATTCTGGATGTGGGGAGCCCCCAGACGCATGTGATAAGCATGTTGTTTCCCAGATCATCGAGCACGGGGACACATGGCCACCCCAGTCCCGAGGGCTCACACACCACTCTGTTCTCTCCCTGGCAGAGCAAACATGGCCCAGTGCCCATGAGACCCTCCTGACCACGTGGAAGATTGTGGCATTCACGGCGACCAGCGTGCTGCTGGTGCTGCTGCTCGTCATCCTGGCCAGGATGTTCCAGACCAAGTTCAAGGCCCACTTCCCCACCAGGTGAGTGCTGGGCTCTGGTTCCTCGGGGCGGGGGGGCCAGGGGTGGTGGTGAGAGCAGAGGGTCCGGGGTCAGGCCAGGCAGATGGGGGAGAGCTGGGAGCAGGTGTCTGGGGCCACATGGCTGCACGGGACTCGCCTCCCTCTCTCCCACCTCCCTGTGAACCCCAGGAGCTGTGGGGTATGGTGAAGGGGTGCACAGAGTCGGGGCTGCCATCATGCAGGGGCCCCCGCGACCCCATTCCCATTCCCCCAATGTGCACGGGGCCCACAGGAAGGATAAAGTCACAGACCTAATTAGGAGATGCAGTGAAGATGTGTGACGCAGCAGAGATTCAAGAACAGCCTGTCTGGAAGTCTCCGGAGGGCGACGTGGTTCTGGGTGAGGCATGGGCGAGGTCCTGCTAGTCCTTGCCCCACCCATGCACCGAGATGCTTGGGGCTCATGCCTCTGTTGTCCCCATGGCCATCACAGAAGAGCAGCTCACCGGGAAGCAAGTACACCAGCTCCTCCGCGACAACAGGGCCATCACCACAGCTGCTTGCCGGCCTCGTTCCTGGGAGGAAACGTTGCCAGGAGAGCCAGCAATGAGTGTGTAGCCATCCGGAGGCGGACGGCAGTGCCCTGGCCACCCTCCCCAATAGGAGCTGCCTCCAGCCACCTCCCTCCACGGAGTCCTGAGCGTCTTGGGGCTCCTGTGCCCTTGCTGGCCTCCCCGCGGGGAACTCGCACTTCCAGAAAACATCTGTCTTCGTACACGGGACACTGTCACCCCCAGAGCTGTGCGTGCCACCCATCAAAGGGGGCACTGGTGGTGGAGAAGGCGTCTCTGACGAATCACCTCCCTCCCTTGCCTCCAGGGGAGTCCGGGACAGTCATTCCTGCTCCTCGTCCCTGAGAGGGGCTTCAGGGCACCCGCTCCACAAGGGGTCTGTAAAGTGACCCCAGACTCTTCCATGTGAGCATCTCTGTCTTAGAGAACTCCCTGGTTTGGGAAAAGCCGTACTCAGCTGTCCGGGTAGAAGACCACGTTCCTCGGAGCAAGCCCAGGACAGACTCCTCCTCGGGCGCACGGGTGTGGACCCTGGAGAGCTGCTTGACCAGTGCATGGACGGGCTGTGCGCTGTGGGGGCCGTGGACAGGGCGCGCCCCAGAGGAAGGGGACTGGCTTGTCCTGGGCACGAAGACAAGAGCCAGCGGCTCTCGAGGGCTGGCGGCGAGCTCGTCTTTCATCCCCCCCTTGCTTCTCACTCTCTGGAAGTGCACCCCACGTTTCTGCAGACTTGGGCCTGGCGCTGCCCTCCCCCAGTGCTGCGTCCAGACACGGCATTTCCTTGGGCTTCAGAGCCCCTGCCGCCAGCACTCTGCGGTGAGGGGCTGCCCGCCGGCTGCCCATCTTCTTTCCTGGTTGGTGTAGTCCTGGCGGCAGCGCTCTCGTGGGGGCCCCACAGAGGAGCCAGTCCACTGGCCGCCTGCAGCCACGGGGGCCCCATGGGGACCAGAGAGGTGTAGAGAGGTGGTCAGACAGGGCCTGTGGGGTGACAGAACGTGCAGAGGCGAGGCCAGCAGCTGGAGCCACATGGGGGACCCTCCCGGCTCCCACAGAGAACACGGCCCCTGCCGGTGGCCCCGTGTGGCTTCATATCAGGAGGTTGCTGGGTCAGGGGTTGGAGCTGGGCCCACATAACCAGTCAGGCAGTGAGGGAAGGCTTAGAGCTTTCCTCTTATCCCTTTGACTAAAATTGTGAGCAAAATGGCCTCAGCAGCACAGAGGGCCCCTTTCCTGGTGGGGCACGGGGTCCTGGTTTCCTGTCAGTCTGTGGTGTCTTCTATGCCCAGCAAGCTCCACAAGGGGACCTGTGGGGGCCCAGTAGACGGAGGCCAGAGATGGGAAGGAGGAACCCCAAGGGGGCACGGGGGCCCAAGACCGAGGAGGACGCTGCAGGCGGAGTGTGGCCGTGGGGCAGAGCGCTGCCGTGGGCCAGAGGGGGCCCAGGAAGGAGGCTGGTCCTTCCGCAGGACCTCCATGTGGGCTCTGTGGCCGTCAGGGGCACAGGGGGCACTGGTGGCCTCCATCCAGGGGATGTGCTGTCTGATCTGTGGACACTGCTTTCCTTCACCCAGGGGGCCCCCGCGGAGCTCCAGCAGTGACCCGGACTTTGTGGTAGTGGACGGCGTGCCTGTCATGCTTCCATCCTATGACGAGGCTGTGAATGGAGGTGTGAGGGCGTCAGGCCCAGGGTACCTGGCCTCCGTGGGCCAGGGCTGCCCCTTGCCAGTGGACGACCAGAGCCCCCCAGCATACCCCGGCTCAGGGGACATGGACATGGGCACGGGGGGGTCAGAAGCCTGTGACAGTGGCTCAGCCTCCTCTGAGCTGCTCCAGAGTCTGTATTCACCTTCTGTGTGCTTGGGGGGCACGCACCCCGACAGCGTGGACACGGGGGCTGGGACGACAGGAGAGACAGCGTCTAGCAGTCCAGGCATCGACATTGCAGATGGTGAGTGTTGGCCCCAGACCTGGCGCCAGGCCTCTCTGCAGCCTGAGCCACTGCTTGTCGCTCTCCCTGCGTGTGTCCCTGCCATCCAGAGTGGGAGGGATGCGGGGGCCAGTTCTTGGTTTCATAGTCTCCACGAGAACCAGGATGCATCCTTCCCTGTTCCTGCTTTGGACAAGGCTCTCGGGGCGCTCAGAGATGGTCACCACGCACATGAGCAGGGATGGGTGTGTATGGTAGGGCAGCGCTGGAGAAGCCTTGTACACGCGGGGCGCTCTCAACAGGCGGGAGCTAACAGGCACGTGTGCTTGGCCACTCACAGCTCATGGGGAAGAGAGAGACCCAGCTGTGTCCCTGAGGAGGCATACAGCACACAGTGCACGCAGGAGCATCTGTCCCACCGGTGGCCATAGCTGCCCGGAGATGGCTTCTCTCCTGCATGCCTGCTGTCCCTGTGTCCCCACATCCTGCCTTTCATCTGACTTGACTCCTAAGGGCACATGTTCAAGTCTTTAAACGTTTCATTTTTCATGAGCTAGGTGTAAGATTTTCCACCAGAGGAGTGGTTTCTGTGATTATTAACAGATAAGTGTAGAACTTAACATTTTCTTTTCACTGACACTAGGAATCATTGATATTGTAGTCAAGCTTTTAATCCCTGATGCTTGCGGCTGAGTTAGTAACTGTCTGTCCTCTCACAGAGATCCCGCTAATGGAAGATGACCCGTGACCAGCAACACCGCAAAGATTCTCCTGCCCCTGCGGGGATGGGAGCCGTGCCCCTTGGAGTGAGGCCCCAGGGGACGGACTGTGGGGCCGTGGGGGGGTTTCCAGCTCACCTACATGGAGACCGTGACTCGCATAATCCATTTTGGGCTCAGAGCTGCGGTGGGCGCACTTGGGGAGCAGCGACCAGGGGGTCTGGGCAGTCCTGGTGAAGGGGTCTGGCTGTCCCTGCTGCAGAGTGGGGCGGCTCCACACATGTCCCCTGGACCCCGCATCCCGTAACTTGTGCTGCAGCCACTGCCTGCCGCCTTTGCAAGCATGTCCCCCGCCGATTCGCCCTGCGGTCTGCTACGCGCAACACGGCTGCCGTGTGGCAGGCTCTGGGGCACGTGGGGGCTTTTCCTTGATCTGACACAGTACTGGATGAGTGAGAGAGGAAAGGAAGGACACAGGCAGACTCTACTTCCTGGAACCTCGTCCACAAGTGCAGTTGAGCAGCCCTGAGCCGTCCTTTGGTGAAACACGGTCATTTTCTGTGTCACGAGCTGGTGCACCACCATGCTCTGGGTGTCTCGTGTTCGGGACTTTGTGGACGGTCAGATGTGCTCGGACGTGTCTCCTGGTGGACAGGATTGCAAGGCAGCATTCAGCTTGGCATCTCAAGGTGTCCCTTGACCGTGTGTCTCGAGAGTTGCAAGTCCCCTCCCATCGCCTGTTCCGATGTTGCTCCCACTCCCAGAATGCAGCCATATGTTTATTTTCCAAAACAGAACCTGTTTCTGTAAACATGCTCCTCCTCCAAATAAAGTATGAGGCTGGGTTGTTTTCTTTCTGTTTCCTCTGCAAAGTGTGCAGGCTGGCCTCCCGGCCCAGGCCACTCCCCCACTCCCCTCCCATTCCAGGGCCATGGGCCTCTGCTGGGAGGACCCCCAGGCCCACTGGTGCTGTTTCTGAGAAAATGATACAGAAATGTCTCCTCAAACATGCTGATCTGTGGATTTGATGTCTGTCCTCCTCTGGGCTGTGGGTAAATAGAGATAAAACTCTGATCCATAAAATTATCCATCGTCAGCGCACCGAGCTGGAAGCTTGGTCTAATCCTGTTTTATCGTGACACAGACTGATTGAAAGTTAACAACATGACGGTTTTTTTTGAAGCATGGCTTTCATAGTGGAGCAGGGCAGGCCCAGGAGGGGCGGTGACCCTGAAAACTGGGGCTGGAGGCAGCGGCTGCGAGGGGCTCCTGAGCTGGCCTGGGCAGGGGGAGCATTGCATGCACGAGGAACAGTGTTTAATTATGAGAACTTTTGCACAACTTTGCACCACAAGGTGCACAGAATGAGCTGGTTTTCATGAGTGTTTGTGCTTAAATGTCACCCTGCCCGCCAGGAGGCAGAGGGCGTGGGTGGCTGGGGGCGCCAGGGTCCACTGTGGGCTGCCTCCTCCAGGCAGCGGCCCCAGGGGCCAGGCCTTCCCCATGCCTGCATCTGTCTTCCCTTCCCGCCTCCTCCCCACCCCCGAGTGGAGGGCATGTCTCTGAGACCAGTTGGCAGGCCCCTCACTTTCTGGAAGGGGGCAGGTGGGAAGGGGGCAGGTCTGGCCTTGCCTCCTTCTGGGAGGTGTTCTCCTCCCAAACTAGTGAGCAGCTCCTCCGACCCCTGTCAGCTGAGCACAGGGTGCCCCCCATCCCCTGCACCTGGAGTTGGGTAGTCCAGGCATCAGCGGCAACTGTGCTGGAAGTGTAGCAGCCGGTTGCAAAGAGATTCCTGCTCCTCGGTCTCAGTCTAACGGGATCCCCTGGATTCCCTCAGTCCCTTTAGCTTCTGGCTGTAGTCTCGCCCACAAATGCTGCTTGCTGTGACTTCTCATATCGGTGAGGTTGTGTGGCAGGAAAGAACGCCTACAACATCCCCCACACGTCCTGGTCCTGGCTTCGTGTGAAAGTTCTGGAAGGCCCTCTGACTCTGACACCCTGGGGACCTGTCGGCAGTCAGGCTGGGGTCCCGGGGTGGGGAGAGCACCCTCCCCAGCTCCGCACTCTGCCCTGGGGGAAGGAGGCTCCTGAGGCCAGAGCCTGCAGCCCAGAGCCCCGACTGCCCGTGGTCGGCCCGTGGTGCCCCCGGTTTCCAGGAACCAGAGGGGAGTTCTCTGCTGCAAGTCCAGCAGACGTCCCAGGACATCCTCACACTTCACTGCCATGAGGCTTGTTTTAATTGCGAAGTTTGACTTGCTGGTGTGTGCCCTTCAGAGCCTTCCCCACCAGCTTGCGCCTGTCCTGGCAGCCGCACGAGACTGCCTCCCACTCCCTGGCCACGCAGCAGGCCCCAGCCAGTGGGGAGTCCGAGGCTTGCGGTCCCACCTGCTGGGTCCAGGTGCCCCTTGTGCCCCTGCGCTGCCGCCCTCCACACCGCAGGGCCCGGTGTCCCCGTGGGGACAACACAACATCATGGGACAGCATGGCTTGGTCGCGGCCACCTCCCCGCTTCCAGTCCTGCCTCTGCCACTAACGTGCCGAGTGTTTGGATGACGGGTTACCTTCTGGGGCCTCTGTCTCCTGATGTGGAAGTAAGAGCTGACTCCCCTTTTGCCTTCCCTGCTGGGCTGTGGCGAGGGCAGCGAGCGCCAGGCGCACACCCAGCAGGTTTTGGTGAGCAATGGCTGTTCTCCCTGTTGCTGAGCATGGGTGAGGCTGTCGAATTTCCAGTCACCTCTCACCTGCCTGGGTCCCCGTGACCCTGAGGATGCTTCCAGGTGCACCGTGCCAGGGGTGCCCCCAGTGGGTGGGCAGAAAAGTGGGATGCCCCTTTCCCTGGACCCATTCCCCTCAGGAGCCTCTCCCTGGCTTCTGTATGCTGAGGCTTCCATGAAGGGGAAGATGTCTGATTCTCAGAATGCTCTGGAAGCTTCAGCTCAGGGAGGGCAGGACAGCCTTGGGAATTTCCCTGAGGACTCCAAAGGACCCAGATCACCTCCACAGGCAGCCCCGTAGGTTAACATGAACCTGCCTCCCTAATTTTATAGTCTGTCTTGGATTGAGGGCATAAAAGTTAAGGCCCATCCATTTCCCAAGGTGATAAAGGGCCAAGCCCACAGTAAAGATGCATGGTCTAGCAGCAGGCAGAATAGGTCCAGGGAGAGCACAACCACTTGGCAGGGAGGCAGGTCCTGAGCACAATGGCCTTGAACTAATCAAACTTAACGTGAAGCATGTGGCGTCCATGCAGCCGTGGCAGGCAGAGCACTGTCTCTCTGCTGGGCTGGGAATCCCTGGGTATCTGCTGTGCACGGTTCTGAGGGGCCCGAGGTGTGGCCTGGCCACCTGCCCTGCACATCAGTGCATCCAGAGCCCATGGGAACGCTGGTCCCCCGTGCTCCGAGACAGCGGGATACAGAAACCCCAATGCCAGGGATAGAGGATGGAACCTGACGGAATGAGAAGTGTTTGCTAAGGACCTGCTGTGTGCCAGCCCTGTCTCAGCTCTCCGGGCCAGTGGATGTGGGCTGTTAAATGGGCAGGTGCCGACTGGGAGTTGGGACGCAGGGGATGCCCACCCAGGCCTAGGTGCTCAGGGAGGCTGCCATGCTGGAGGTAGTGGGGGATCCCTGGGGGCGGGGGGAGCAGCAGGTGTGTGGCAGAGGGGCAGGAGAGCTGGGCTGAGCTAGGGGCCCAGAGGCCAAGAAGAGAAAAGCAGATGGGGAGAGGGAGGAAGGGCAGGCAGAGGTGGGACTGGGAGGAAAGCCAGGCTGGCAGGGAGCCTGGATGCCGCTGGAGAAGGAGAGTGGTTCCGTCGGGACTTGAACCTGCTTGAAGCTGGGAAGTGCATCCGGAACCTGAGCTGGCTGTGAGGCCCCTCAGCTGGTGGAGCCAGTCCCAGGAGTCACCTTCCTGCCCCAGGGCCCCTGCCTCTCTCCCGACCAAAATCTCCTCCCCTGGCACTCAGGCTCTGTCAGGGGGGCATCTACACCAAGAAACCCTGCATTTACCTCCATCAGGGAGGGCGGGGACGAGATGCCACCCTGGGCCAGCCAGAGCCCCTCCAGGAGGCAACCGCAGGCCCAGACCGGTTACCAGGTTGAGCTGGCCACAAATTCTTCACAGTTGGGGAAGTGTGTGGGGAGACGGGGAGGAAGCCATAGGTGTTGTGTGCCCGTCCTTGTGTGCTCTCCTACGTCAGCCCCTTTCCCCGGTTAGGCTGTCCGTGTGCACGCAGATTTCAGTACTTTTATAACTGACTGTGTATTTCAGAGCAGCTTTACTTTTACAGGAAAATTGAGCAGAAAGTAATGAGTCCCACGGGGCGCGGTTTCTCTGGTTATTCTGTCCTGCACTTCCATGGCCAGCATGTGACCACGGAGGAGCCCTGGGGCACACGGCACAGGTTCCCCTCGCTCTCTGAAACCTTTCTTAAGCTGAAATGGCAGAAGTCGAAGCATAGCCCCTGCTTTTGGACAGTTGCGCTAGTCCACTCAGCTTTTAGGAAGGATGTGTGTTCCTGTTTCCACTAACGGGAGCAAATCCAGAGGGGACGCTGCTTTTATGAAGAGAGCTGTCACGGCTCTGATGCAGGTGGCAGGCTTCCGGAGAGCAGGAGATCCCTGTCCTAGCAGCTCACATGCATGGTTTATGGCAGGGTCGCTCCTGGTGACACACCTCCTGTGGGTTTTGACGAAGCTACGGTCATGCACATCCACATGACAATGTCACGGAGCAGTTTCTCCGTCCTCGAAAACCCCACATCCACCTGCTCCTCCTTCCAGCCCCGAGAACCCATGACCACCACTGATCTTCTGTCTCAGAATGTCACCTCGCTGAGATCACACTGGGCCACATGCATGCAGGGCTTTCACAGGATGAGGAACCATCCTAGAAACTCCAGAGACCTCAGATGTCCCAGGTTGTGTGGCTGGAGACAGCACAGGGTCAGTGAGGCTGTGACCAGGGTCTCCTCCCTAGCCACCTGAAGACCTGCAGGTTCCCCGAAAACCCCATTCTGGGGTCAGATTTCTTCCTGTTGTCCTGTCCCCGAGCACGTGGAGGAGGCCACCACGGGCCTGGGAGATGGGTCTCCCAGAGACGGCGGGGACCTCTTTGTACACACACCAGCCACATCCCCCCCACCCCGCCCACCCTGGCAGGAGCCTCTCAG